ATTGTTATTAGTTGCGCGCGCACCCGCAAACCGCACAGTATCGCCGCCCCGGGCGACGACGCATACCGCACGCCACGGTGTTGGCGGGGGTGGCGCGGTGCGGGGCGTCAGGAGTTTGGCGCGAGGTGGGTGTGGTGTGAGACGAAAACGAAGAAAACGACGATTCCTCCTCTTGCGATCGGCCGGGGAAGGGAGGACGCACATACGCAGTAAGTGTGAACGTCGAGCGGTAATCGCATCGTGTAGGCATAATAGAATATAATGCGTAATATTATTTAGACGGCGTCAACAATTTTGCGGTACGCGTTCTCGGCGTCCCTATAATAGCCTGGAAAACAATGAACGCATTTTACCAAATGCCGTTACGGCGGCGTATCGTTGGTCCCGGCTTAGATTTCAATCATTGTTTGGAAATGTATAGGTACTGCACCCGCGGTGTACACGCGTTACACAACACAGCGGCGTTCCGCTAGGATTTCTATTGGGAACGTGAAAGGAAGCCGTGTATCCGTAGCTTATTCACAAAGCGAGCCGCGTACAATACCATAGATTTCAATACGCATTATTATCAAACGACTATGTAATTCGGATTCGTATTCGACCGATTTTTTTGTTTTTTTTATCGGTAACGGGCATTTAAAATCCGTTTTTTTTTTTTTTTTATATTACTTATAGTTGGCATCGAGTACCTGTAGTTCTTCCCGAGCAATATTCACGCGTATTCACGGGCATCTCCAAACCTTGACTATGGGGGTGGGAGTGGGAGCGCGAAATAATTAAATTTGATATTAATGATTGATAAGAAAAATTGACCTTCATACTGCGCACGNACATAACGTATATCTGTCAGCGAAAATCATTGCTAACGAAAAGCGATTCTGAACGAAGCTCGGTTAATAGTATTGCTTTTTCAACAGTATTATATTCATATTACTGTAAAATGAAATCCAAGATTTCTAGTAGACTCTTTTTTCTTATATATATATATAAAATAATAATAACAATAACATTATTGTAAAACCATTATATTTTTCTCAACATTCAGAATATAAAAAATTATGGCAAATAATACATTGATTATATCTATTATATCCACTTCTGGATCAATTACTATGCTAAATGCCAATGCAAGTCCACTTCTCTCGGGGGGAGAGGGCTCTCATCGCCCCCTGTCCTCAAGGACGCGCCTATACGTATTACTTCATTATGCGGATGGTTAACAACGTTAATCCGGAATGACGCGGTTCTATACATGTCATAATATATGATTTAATATTAAAATAATTAGTCGTAACGATCGCGGGTTTTGATTATGGTTTTAATCAATACCACCAGTCAACACCATAGGATAAATGCAATTGTATCTGTCATATTATATTTTATATTTATATTACGATAAATATCGTTAATTTTGAAAATAATAACGAGTCAAAAATGAATTATCAATTACCACTAAATATTATTTATGCATAATATTTCTGTAATTATAATATAGCTGATATACTGACAGGTGCGGCCACTGTTGTAGTTGGTTAGTGGGAAAGATGGGATACATTATAACGATAAATCATTAATATCGTAAAACGATTTGAAACGATTTTCGGTTACATAAGTTTTGAATATTGTATAATATTTTCGATATTCGTCCAAATTTGATTTTAAAACTTTTGATTACTAAGTACGACTTATAATGATCTCCCTATTCAATTTTCAAGCGCTTTTGTTAAGTCTAACAATATATCTACAGAGTACCTACCAAATAAAAATTACGGAAAAAATTCTCAAAATTAATAATTGTATTAGGAAAGTTTTACCGCGTCCAGAAAAAATAAATAAATATTTTCTGTCAACGTTTTAAGTCTTTACGAATATTTTAAAGTAAATTACATTTAAAATAATAAATTAACATTTCGCAAACATTTTCCTGTTTTCCTATAAATTTCTCGGTTTTGCTCAATTAATTATTATAATAGCTATGAATTGTAACCCCGTCATACATGACGGGTTATTATGGTCATTGAAATCTTTAAAATGGCTATATATAGTGATAAATACAAAATGCTATTCATCTGTATGTCGACAATTAAACGTAAACCAAACGTTAATCGTTTTAATTTGATTAAAATAATTCACAGAGACTTTGTTCATCAAAATCGTTTTTCGTTGGTATATTTAATTTTTAGTTTTTCCTTAGCATATACTATTTATCGTTGCGTATAAATAGTGTTATAATTTTAATATTGATCTAAACATTGTCTATATACATTCACGAATTTTCACGTACAAACAGTTTGAACACTCGTCAGCAGTATTAGTTGTATCATTGCCGTTTTTTCTTTTATTCGTTTACTAATTAATTAGGTGATGCCTATAAAAATTTCGAAATAGATACGTATGATCTAAAAAATACACTGAATATACAGCACACGTACAAACGAAATAGCCGTAAAAAACAATGTAAGTGCAGTACACGCAATTTCATTATTAACGAATCATTATATTAGTTTCAGCAGATTAAAATGAAAAAAACTATTATAATTATTAATTATAGATATAATAACTATTCACTATACTTATTTCCATATATATATATATAATTTAAACATAGGTAGTTAATTTGATACGAGTTTATTACATAATATAGGACTTGGGAAATCGTTAAACTCGCAAGTGTTTTTTTTTATTCCTTTTTTTTATACTGCACTCATTAGTATGAGAACACTAACTCTTTTGATAACATTATTTTAAATAAAACGACTTTTGTACTACACTATAGCAGTATAGCTATTATTTGATATCATTATTTTAATAAATACACTCGTACTATATCTGTGTATTTAGTTTTAAAAATTTTAATTTAAAATTATAACCATTTATGAATATTGCTTTCATGCATCATAAAATCTAAAAATTACTACCTGGAAATTGATTTAACACCGTTTCAAAGCAATGTAATAATACGATAATATAAGTATAAAAAAAAAAAAAAAAAAAATGCATCATTGACCTGTACCCTAAATTTGTAACTAGTAATAATATAATATAATATATATAGAAAATATTTTAAAATAAATAATATTAAAAATTATTTATGAAAAATACATAAAAAAACAAATGTTAATAATTGACTACTATATGAAGTTAATTATTCCTATTTAAAAAATGTGTTCGTTATGTTTTATCCAATACAACTTACTTATAGACATTATAATATAGTACAATTTATTAAATTTTAGATCCTGAGTGGAACGAAGAAGCTATTATAGTTTCACTAAGATTTTTATCTGTGAACATTTTTCTGTCAGAAATATTGCTCCGAAAAAATATAAAAAATGCATATTTAATTGTTTTACCATAATGTCACATACATATCATTGACAAAGCATCACTATCAACTGAATCCCGCTCAAAATCGTTTTTCATTTAGCAATGGTTAATCATTACTTACAGGTATAAAATAAATTTACCCTATATTATCATAAATGATCCCTTTGATGTTGGAAAGCTCGGAAAACTAGAGAATGGCGGAATAAAAAATAAAAAATACTTTTCAAATAAAGCTCAACTGATTCTACAATAATAATAATAAAAAACACAAATCAAATTCACTTAAAATATAAATAGAATTGTGGTTAAGTTTCGGCCTTTAAAAATAATTATAATATTTAGAAGATAAGCGCATTTATAATAATTAAGTATGTATTTATTTAGTTAATTTGCCACTTACAACCATGGCTATAGCTGTCCCCATTATCTTAGAACATCGTTTTTTAATTTTCGTATATCTGTAACTGCATATTATTAACTACTTTCAGTAAAGAAATTACTCCGAAATAATAATAATATTATAGACACTGTACACGAGTATTATATGCGTATTAATGTATTATCAAACCGGTAAACTTGGTAAAACGTTGTTTTTATATACGAAATAAATATAAGTGTAGGTACAATAAATTATTCAAATTATGGTTTTACTATGTAAATTATAAATATTATTAGGAGTGTTAATTATTACCATAATTCCTAAACATATAC